AAAAAAAAAAAAAAAAAAAAAAAAAAAAAAAGGGAGGGGGGAGAGGTTTTCCATTCCTATAAAATGTTAACGGGTGAAAAAGACGTATTTCACTTTGAAGAGTTAATTTCATGATATGACTATGCAGTAAAGCAGGAGATAGTTTTGAGAGTTGCTAGCCACTAATTTGAGTTTGTGTGAGTTATTAGTGGAAAATACTCAAGTATACTTAGACCTTCACTGTGTACTTAATTGGAAGAACCTATTGTTTCTGCAATATTGTTCGGTTAAACATTGCACAGTTCTTACCTCATTTCTGTAAATAAGTTTTTGTGACTGTTTTGTATTGTGAAGAATTCATAAAATGTGGATATTTTGATTTGTAAAATTTCTAACTGGTAGATTTAATTGAAAGGTAAAAAATAATTTATTTTTATATATTAATGGCAATTTTTAAAGTCACAAATCACTTTTGTAGATAAATTTACTAAAGTAAATCAGTGTGGTTTAATTTATTTAAACCACTTGTTTAATATTCTGTAACAATTTGTATAAAATGTTGTTTTGCCTAGATGTAAAATTGCCAATTTATATAAAGATATGTACAAAGCTTTGGTTAATAAATTTTAATATTGTTTATGGTTGTAAATTGCCATGAAAGATACAGACTTCATCAAGGGAATGTATTAGTCATTGTGTTCAGTTATATTCATATGTATGAAACCTAAGTCCCATTACAAACATACTCTTAATGCATACTGATAGATGCTCAAATTGTAATGTTTTAAGTGGAATTTAAACAGGTTTATTCTAATTTATAGAATAATTTATAGCTAACAAATGCCTATAAAATATAAAGCTGGAATGGAAAGTCCAGTTCCTACAGCAGCAAAAGGTGCCTTGACGTGAGTCATCTTTCTTGAGAAAAGGGTCATTTCACAGTATTTGATATCCTTTCACCTGAAAGGAAGAACTTGCACATACTTTACCCTAGCTGGAAGAGAAAATGTGCTGCGCATGGCAGCAACCCCCCACCCCCTCTCACCACAAAGAAAATAGGGGTAAAATTGATTTCTTAAACCTTGAGCAACATTACATATTTTAGCACCTTTTTTTTAAAGTCAGATTGACACCTCCAGCCCACCCCAGCATGAGAAGGTATGAAATGGGTAAACATTTCAAGTTGAAAGCAACAGTTTCGTCCCTTATATAAGTCCACTGTTCCCCCCAAGGCTGAAAAACGAGAATTCTGGTATACTGGAATTTTCCCTGCTTGAAATGAAGGCTTGCCTTCATCAGGAGCACCAACTGTCAGCAAACAGAGCCTGGTCTACAAATTCAAATGTTTTCTCTCATTCATACTCCATAACTGGAATATATATTTTTGAGCTGTGGCCGCATCCACATATAGAGTGTAGGAGTGCCTGAAAGTCTGACATCTAATGAATTACATCTTGAGTTAATATAGCCCCATAGAAAAAATATTCCCACTTTTGATGCATTTGCTGATTAGGACTTACCTATACATTTTAACTATAAAAAACACCCGTTGTATTTTTTATAATTAAAATAATTTTCTCCTAAGGGGATGCTCGTAAACTGACTTCCAGTTCCCATAAGTTTGAGGCAGCAAGGTCATTTATGGGGAAGTGACTGCAGTCCAGTATTAACTGGAGGACCAAGTATTATAATGTAAGGCAATAAATATATTAGAATTTGCTCTATTGAACAGGAAGTCTGAAGATAAGTATTATCAGGATCCATGGTGAAATGCAGGCAAATAGAACAAAATGAGGAATTCAGTTCCCATTGGCTGATTCTCCATAAATCTCCATAGCAACAGTAGTTCCTACATTGGGATATGCCAAATTTGTTGATCTGAGAATGGAGCTGTCTGAAGTTCTGTGGAGTGTTCTATTTCAGAATTGACAAAATTGTGCATGTCCCTACCTCTGCATGATCCACTGGAATAGGCTGAATGTAGTGCCAATGTTGCATGATAATAAAACAGAAAATGCAATATCCTTAGGGCCTGAATGTTATTAATGAAAACTGAAAGGCAAAATACTTAGAGGACACCATGTTTCCCATCCTTCAACATGACTTTATATTAAAAGATATCGCCCAGTTATTCCAATATGTATTCCAAGTAACATAATTTCTTATAATACCAATTATCACACTGTCAAGAAAAATCTCCTGTACAAAAATACATTGATTCTATTAACACATATTTCAAATTGAAGGTGTAAAATTTACAGATTTTTACTAAGGCACATGACATACTGAAATACTGAGGTACAAAAATACAAGTCACTGCATATGATGTTTAACGTATTTCATTTTGATGAGTAACATTCTTCAAAATATTCAGCTTTTTGCCATTTTTTTCTTTTGTATAAGTTCAACCAACAGCTTGTATCTAGTCATACATTCTTCCTGCAGAAAAAGAAAGAAATGTGGAGTATTAATGCATAGTTTTCATTTGTTAAAAGTTACTTGAAAATTTACATTAGGCATTATAGACAATTTACACTGGCAGGAGGGAAAGGGAAAACGTTTTCTAAGTTTATGGAAAAAAGTTAATGTACAATTATTACAACAATCTGTATGTGGCCTATTCACTGAACACTATACTTAGAGTATTAAAAAGTTAATGCACATAATAAAGTTGCAAACAGAACCATATCGTCCTCCACTACTGTCAGCTACTGAGGACCCTCCACTCCAAAGGCCTCGCAAAAAATGTTGTACTTGGTTTCTAAAAGTCACAAAGGTGGGAGCTTGACCTTGCAGGACAGAGTATTCCTTAGTGAGGACACTGCTAATGAGAAGGCTGTCTTGCAGGCCTCTGTCCCCTCAAGCTCTTGTGGGGTCAGTACTTGCAGCACCCTTGATAGATCAGGTTGAGCTGGCAGATTCCATCTGGAGCAAACATCCCCAAAGGTAATAAGGGGTGTGGCCATTTAAGGCTTTATAGGGCTTTTCCACCACTCTGAATTGGGCTTGGAAGCCGCCTGGCAACCAATGCAGCTCCTGCAGAATGTTACTCTGCTATTAAACCTATTATAGCTGCCAGCTCCAGCCTCAGGTTGTCTTCAAGGGCTTTCCCATGTAAAATGAATTGCAGTGTAACTGAGTTGACAAGGGGATGATTCATTGTCCAGTATCTCCTGATCAAGCAAAGGTTGCAACTGGCAGACTAGTGGGACTCAGCCAAAAGATTCTCCTGGCTATGGCCTGCAGCTGCTGCCCTGGAGACCAGGAGTACCCTCAAGAGTGTGTACTGCTCCTTCAAGAGCAGTGCCACCCCATCAAAGCCAACAGCTGAAACATCCATGGATCCACATCGGCTCTGCACTAACAATGAATTTGTCTTGCTGGGATTCAGCTAAGGTGTGCTTCACCTCATCCACTCCCTCCCAGCCTCCAAGCATCAGGTCAAGACATGAGACTCTGAGTAGCACCTCAGAAATTCTAGGCCATTTTTTTCCAGCAGACATAACGATGGCTATAAGTCTCTGTTCACTGCATGTACAAACACATTTGTATCAATTTTTCCAATGTATACCTACAATTAAAACATTTTCAAAATTCACAAGCCTGACAAAGCAGTAAGCAGCACTGGTGACTATTGTGTGGCTTTTTGCTTATAACAGTTACTGTCCTACTATGGTTCAGGAAATGTTTTGACCGGAGCACAGGGTTCCCTCTGCTTTGTGTACCTCTAACAGAAGCAAGTACTTCTAATGTGGTTATATAACTGAAACATGATGTACCTTTCACTTGAAAATCTCGAGTTTGATAGTCATGATAGATGCACCATTTCAACCCCCCTTTCTGGCCATGTCCTTGCCAACATTATCTTTCATATACCCAGCACAATGCGACAAGCAAGGATATAACTAATCTGCCCTAAGTCTCACCTGGCATTAATTATCCACTACATTTGAGAACGGCTGCCTCCTGGCTAGTTGCAGTACAGCTGCCAATCTTTGATTACCCTACTGAATAACATAAAACCTGGCAAAGTGCCCTTATTCTTCAATTGTCCATCTTTGGCCATGCATGAGACTCTACAAAGCCTCTGAATTTTTTTTGTTAGGATTGCTTACCTCAATATGGTCACCTTCCTGCTACAGGATTTAATTCAGATTTAGAATCATGTACCTTCCCTATTCTTTTTTTTCATCTTCCCTTTAATAAACTACTTAATCAGTTGTTTGGACTGTTCTTTTGGTACATTCCCTTTATATTCTCTTTCCCCACCCCTCATGCTTTGATAATTAAAAACATTAGATTACCAGCAAGTTGGGGGGAGAAAGAAAGACAGGACATCACTTCCCAGCTTACTTAGCTATTTCTCTGTTGAATATACCACTTCACCTGTCTTCTGACCTGTCTAGGAGAAACAGGAGTGAAGAGTGGAGGCAACGTGCACATGAACCAATTCTGCAAGGTGCCTGCCACCATGTCTCAGCAAATTTTCAATCGAGTACATTGGAGAACTAATTTTTGGACTTCCTCAGCAACTTAGAAACTATAGTACAGACTGAATTCAAGACTCAGAAAGTCCCACATTGAAAGTACCAAGGAATGTACATGGGAAGAGAGGTTAGTTACCACCCACGGCTGGTTCTCGAACATCTACTTGAAAGCTGAAGAGCATGCTCTCCTCCCTCAGATGGACCTTCAATCAAGGAGGCTGTTCATTCATTTCAAGTCTCTTGTGCAACACTGGCCCTTTAAAACTTGGCTGTGAACAGATTACATGATAGACCAGGGATACAACCATTATTTCCCAGGCTTATGATTTTATGGCCCTCACTGGTATCCTGTATTTCAAACTATGCAACATTTATTTGGTGTTCTAAACAGAATATCTAATTGCTTACTGCACATTAAGGCACTATGGTTGAATTAGCTTCTATTGTTCTTTCAGAAAAACAGGTGGTAGGAAATGTGAAAAGGACAGGCTATTGCTTTGTCACAAATACAGGCAAAAGTCTTGTTTATCATTACCCTTAAAATACACTGAGCCAACTGCAATAAATTTAAGAGGGTTAATCTTCTAAAACTAACTTTTAAAAAAATCAACATAACATAAGCCAACACCAGTATGTTTTAATCTTATATAAAACTATGGCTTCACCTTGCTTTTTCCCGGAACACATTTGGCAATCTTATCCCAACGTTCCAGCGTTCCCTTTGGATACTGTTGTAAAGCCAGCTCTAGAAGCTTCTGTTGATTCTGAGTCCACAAGTCATCTGAACTGCGACACCTCTCTTTTCTTCTGGCCTCATCATCACTATATTCCTCTTGTTCTGCAGTGTCAAAGTCCTTCTGGCGCTTCCCTCTACACTTGTCCTCCGTTGTCTCTTTTGTCCCTGGGACTATTGTTTCAGCAGCCTTTGGCATTGTTTTCCGCTTGCGATGTCTGGCTTCATTTAACCCAGTCTCTTGTTCATCTGTTGTGATCTTATTTATCATTTCTGGATCATAACTGTATTTCGTTCTTTCCTCCTGCTCCTCTTCCTCTTTTTCCCGTTGAGTGATTATAAGATCAGGTAAGTTAACATTGGCCTTGTTGGATCTTGAGCTTTGGGCCAAAGTTTTCAACTCTGAGAATTTAATAGTACCTATTGAAAAACAGCACACATATCAGATTAATGTAGGATAAGGGAGAAGATGAGGAGAACCAACATTCCAAATTACAGATTTTTTTTTAAAGTATGCTTCACGGGTGTGCTTGAAGCAGCCCAGGAAACATCTGACACCTGTATTCAAAAATCAGAGTTGATAAACACAGTAGGTTAAATCCAGACTTAGTCAGATGTAATTCTGATTCCCAGCTAATAAAGTCAGGCTTTCATTTTTACTTGTATGTTTCCATGGTAGTCACACTTAGTTTAAACAATCCAGAAATAGCATCAATTAGGTACGATGTTAAGAGGTCTTCCGTTATATTCTGGCTCTTTTGTTAACATGCACTCCTCTATGCACTGATACACTGAAATGAATGAACTGCAGTGCTCCCATTGAAATGGAAGAATAATGCACTGCCACGGTGTTTAATCAATGGTACCCTTAGTTATTTTAATTCATCTTTTGGTGCTCTGGAACAGATGTCACATATTTTTGTTTTCTTTGCACTGCTGACAATTTGAGGCAGAGTTTCACATTATCCACTTAATGAAGGCATATATGCATAGAAGCTCATTTTCTGCCTGTTATTTGTTTTCAAAAGAAGCAGCCAGTATGCTTAGTAATGGCTGTTGTACCTAGGGCCACCTTTCATCCACTACTACTCTATCTACTCTGGACATAGGAGCTCTACAGACTTTGGAGGTTGCCACTTTCCCATGGCTGTAGAGAACTCCACAACCTCCTAAAAGCTTTGGTTTTAAAAAACTGAATTATTAAAAAAAGGGATGGAATGAAAAAATATTAAATACATAACAGGCAAGCAACCACTACCTATATTTAATTTTAAATGTAAATGAAACAAAATTAAATATAGGTTTGATCCTGAACTCACTATGTTTTGGAACAGGTCCCCCTAGCATTCCAGTCAAAGCCCACGTGTCACCATCACACCAGAAAAAGCACCACCTTCCTGGTGTAGAGGACTTCTTCTCTCCAAATACATTAATTTGATTTATGCTATGCAGTAATTTCCAATCCTGGTAAGGAAGCTTCATTGACTTACCGTATTTTTCCAACAATAAGATGCCCCCATGTACAAGACGGCCCCCACTTTTCCAACCCAAAATTAAGAAATCAATATTTTAAAGATAGTGCAGAACACATTTTTATTTAGTAATTAGTTAACATTTCCAACCCAAAATTAAGAAATCAATATTTTAAAGATAGTGCAGAACACATTTTTATTTAGTAATTAGTTAACATTTCCAACCCAAAATTAAGAAATCAATATTTTAAAGATAGTGCAGAACACATTTTTATTTAGTAATTAGTTAACATTTACCTGATACACTAGCTTGTCTCTGCAAACAAGCTAATTGGTTAGCTTCCTCTAATTGGTTTGTTCAGCATCAGCTGACGTCAGTTACATAAGGCTCGTGATTGGAGGAAGTCTGTTTGGGG